CTGTTTCCTGAGATCTATGGCCAGAGATTCTGATATACAGCAAGTCCGGTATGGGGCCCGGACGTGTGCACTTTTAACAAGCTCCCCGGGGCCTTCTGAGGCAGGATCCCCCAACCACGTTTTGAGAAGCCCATCTTAGGACACTTTATAACTGCATCATTCTCTGCCACGTGGCTTCCTATCACGTCTGTCCTACGTTCCCAGTGAGACAGACCATGGGCGCGAAGAGCTAAGCGCTGCGCACAGATTCAGCCTGATTGCTAAGCCACATAGATCCCTTTTCCTGTTCTTTGTTTTCTCGGTTTTACTGAGGTATGATTGACAAATAAAAAGTGTCTATGCTTGAGGTGTATAACTTGATATATTTTTGAAAGATTTTATTTTTCAGTGATCTCTACACCCGACAGGGGGCTCGAACCCACAACCCCGAGATCAAGAGTCACACGCTGCTCCGACTGAGCCAGCCAGGGGCCCCTATAACTTGGGCTTTTGATATAGGTACGCAGTGCGCAGAGATCACCACAGTCAAGCTAATTAACACCAGCGCCTCACATCGTTACCATTTTCCTTTGTTGTTGTTGTTCTTTATTTTTAAATGCCTCCTGGCACGTCACAGCAAGTTATGAAGGGCAGAGAAAGCCAACAAGCAGCATAAGATTATTAGAAAAACAATGGATAGAAAAATGGCATGCTGTTTCTCAGTAGTGAGAGAAGTTTAACAAATGGCAGTGAATTTTGAGAACGCGGAAGGAACCACGGTCAGGGGCAGCAAAAGCCTCCTCTGGGCTGCCACGGCCCTAAAGGATCCTGAGCACCTATTCCAAGCACCAGGCCAGGAGTGGGCAAGCCTCAGTTAGACACACTGAACGTGGCTCATGGCACATGCAGGTCTGGGCTGGGTACCCAAAGCCACTTTGGTCACACTGGAGAACTTGCATCAAGGCCCGGGTGGGGCAGAAATCAGCACCCGGTCCCCTGGAAACTTGAAAAGGGGGAGACAGATCTACAGACTTGCAAATTCAAGGAGTCTCTATCCTGCCCAAATTTGTCGGATGCGATTGGTTCATTTTACATGTCAACTTGACTAGGTCACAAGGTACCGAGCTTAGACATTATTTGGGTATGTCTGGGAGGGTGTCTGCAGATGGCTTTGGTAGGTTGAGGAAAGCAGACTGCCCACCCCAGTGTGGCTGGGCATCATCCAATCTTTTGAGGGCCTGGAAAGAACAAAAAGGGAGAAGAAGGGAGAATTTGCTCCCTCTGCCTGACTTCTTGAGCTAAAAATATCAGTCTATTCCTCCCTCAGACTAGAATTTACACCATTGGCTCTCCTGGCCCTCAGGCCTTTGGATAATTGAACTTCCAGGAATCCGGCTACAGCTCTTTATATGCCTTGCCAAAGTCCTACGTAGAAGATGTTCACTGCAGAATTGTTTAGAGTAGTAAGGTACGAGAAGCTATGCACATGGCTCTCATATCTCAACTACTGTAAATAATGCTGCAATTAAACATAAGGGTACGTGTATCCCTTCGGATTAGTTCTTGTATTCTCTGGGTAAATACCCAGTAGTACAACTGCGGGATTGTAAAGTAGTTCTATTTTTAACTCTTTGAGTTAAACACACACACACACATGCACGCGCGCGCACACACACACACACACACACACACACCCCATTGGACTATTATTCGGCCATAAAAAAGAATGAAAAGAATGAAATCGAGCCATTTGCAATGACACGGATGGAGCTAGAGAGCATAATGCTGAGAGAAACAAGTCAGTCAGAGAGAGACAAATGGCATACAATTGTATTCATCAAGAAACAAAACAAACGAGCAAAGGGGAACAAAATAAAAGAGAGGAAAACCAAGAAACAGACTCTCAATCATAGAGAACAAACTGACGGTTACCAGAGGGGAGGTGGGGGGGAACAGTTAAATAGGTGATGGACGTGCACAGTTAAATAGGTGATAGGAGGGCACTTGTTGTGATGAGCACGGCGTACTTTATGAAAGTGTAGAACCACTATAGTGCACACCTGAAACTAATATAACACTGTATGTTACGTAACGGGATTTTAAATACAAACTTAAAAAAATAAATAGAATCAGCAGAGGCAGAGACAGCTCCAAAGCCGTGTGATGGCATACTCCAGATGCAAAGAGAGAAGAAGCTACTGCAACGTTTTCATCCACCATTTGACTGCATACTTTCTTTAAAAATTAAATCACGGTGGGGAGGGGGAGCCTAGGTGGCTCAGTCGGTTAAGCGCCAGACTACGGCTCGGGTCATAATCTCACGGTTCGTGGGTTCGAGCCCCATGTCGGACTCTGTGCTGACAGCCCGGAGCCTGGAGCCTGCTTCGGATTCTGTGTCTCTGTCTGCCCCTCCCCTGCTCGTGCTCTGTGTGTGTCTCTCTCTCTCTCAAAAATAAACAAACATTTTATTTTATTATTTTATTTTTATTTTTATTTTTTTTAAATTTTTTTTCAACGTT